AAGGGCATTAAAGACATAGGTTTGAATTAGGATTCTTACTGTACTAGGTTATTGACATTAATTTTTTTGAGTTTAGGTCTCTTCTATAAAGTGATGATAACAATATTTAACTATACCTATGCACATGCAGAAAATGTTGTAAGAATTAGATAACAACTCTGTGTAAAGAATTTAACTTAGAAAAAAAAAATCAAAAAAAAAAAAAAAAGAATTTAACTTAGTGCCTCGGCTACTGTATATATGGCAGGACTTGGTATTGCTTGAAATGTTGGCATGGTTTGTAAGAGATATGTTAACAACAGTGACATGAATATTCTTGTTCTTATAATGAAATGTTCATTTTGAGGAGTTCTATTAAAGTAAACTTTTGAAACATTCAGGCCTAGAGAATTTGATTTTGAGTTCTGTAAAGAAAGAGGGAAAAATGTTTCCACCAGCCATGTGGTTTGTTTAATCTGTTGAGGTGGCTAAAGCCAGCAACCCTAACTACTTTGAAATTCCTAAATATTTATCTACATTTGGACAACTACACACACTCATAACTAATGGGTATATTCCAAAGACCGGGTCATTAATGTGAAAATCAGTGTCAGGTTGCAAAATAGAGGATGATGACATCATTCAATAACTGCCAAGTCATATCACTCCTGTCAAATGTCTTCATAATGTAACTGCCTAATTACTTCATTACATAATTGCCAAAGCATGAAGAACCATGACCCAGCCAAGCTGATACATAATCTTAACCATCACAACCAGGGTTACTTTTACCTTGCCCCTCTGTATTAGGTACTGCCAGATGCACATTCTTAATACACAAACAAGTTGGATAGATTTTTACTATTGTCATGTATGTGAAATGTTGGTTAACAAGATATAAATGAGAAGTAGATGTATTTGACCTTAAACTAAGTATCTACTTCCTTTGGTGTTGGATAATACTGTTGTCTTTGAAATTGGGATCCATGGTGCTGAGCTTGTGTTGGGAAACAAGGAATGTGGGTGGAGGGTTTGAAACCCAAGGCAATCACATGCACATGAATATTTTTTTCTGTGCATTAAGTTTGAATACTGTTTTGAAATTTTTTGATTGGTTGGCAACTTTCCCACAAAGTGCTAAAGACACTGTACCTTTGCAGAACCACTCTGGAGTACTGTCGGAGGTCGAAGGAGTAAGAAAGAAATTTTGGTGTTCTTTTTGTTCTTTTTTTTTTTGGTCTTGTATTTGACCTCTGTTCTTCTATCCAGGGTTTTCAGAAGAGATGCTGGGGAATACTGGAGTGTTATCTTATTAAGGAATCTATTAGCACTCATCCACGCTAATCCATTTACATTTGCATAAGCATCGTAATGGCTTAAGGAAAGACCCATAGGCCAGAAATTCTGCAAATTTTAGAGTGCAAAGCCCTTTACCCAACTCATCGCTTCTTATTTATTATAACTGTGAACAAACCCCAGGAACTGTTCTGCAAAAGTAACTATGTTAAGGGTCACAGCAAAACATAAGATTCTTTAAAAAAAAAAAAAGATCATAATTCTGGCAATACTATTGACCTTCGTAGCAGCATTAATAAACTTGCAAGAGCACTGCTAAAGCTAATGTCTGGACTATTACTCTTCTTGTAATGGGAAGTTTGGAGAGGCAACTTATCTTAGGAATGTCTTAAATACTTGGTAAAGAGGCAAAAGCAAAAACAAGTATTCTGAGAAAGGAATTGTTGTCACAGTTTTAGCAACTTCTTTTTTTTTTGAAAGTGCTACTAGATAGGTAACCTTGAAGCCTGCTTAAGACCAAGTCAATTTCTGATTTTACGGGTTATCCTGATTTAGAACCCAAGCCTTAAGAGAAAAAAAAAATTCCTAGGTTTTCTGTTCATAGCATCCCTTGTAAATGTTGTTGTCAGGTGCTATAAAGTAGATTCCAACTCACATCCGGAGAAGAACTGCTCTTCCTCTTTATAGCAATGAACTTTTCTCCCCTTTAATCTAAGTGGACAAAGGAAGTGTGGCAGCTTTAAGTGTCTGGTATAATCTCAAGAGATAACATAAAAACAAAGACCATATAGCACAGGGGGTTGAAAGGTAGCATGCCTCAGAATCACCTGCCAGAGCCTTTTACTGACGTGATTAAGTTCGAAATACTCAGTCTTACATGAAAATCTGAATTCTGCAAAACTGGAGGATGCACACACCTGGATTACAGCTTTACACAACTGCTGAATATGTCATGAGAATGGGAAACCATTGAGAATGATGGGTCAGATAAGGTGACACATCATGTTAACCATCACAGCGAGTGTAACTCTCATCTGACACCTTGGTGTTCACTACTGTGAAATAGACATTATTAATGCACAACATAGTCAGATTTCTTACCATCATCAGAACTGCAAACTATTGGATAGTAAAATAGTTTAATCTGAGGAGTAAGTGGTTTGACAGTGGCTGCAACAATGGCTTCAGGCATAGGAACAATTTTGAGAAGGACCTCGGCCCAGGCAGCATTTCAGTCCATGTAGGTGGGGCCCTGTGGGTCAGAACTGACTCGTTGGCATCTAACAACAACAGGTGTGGTTAGTACTTCATGGTGTAACCGACAGGGAGGTTACTTTGCTAGCACTGTTCTTAACTACAGGAATTCTTAGGGGCCTAGCAATTTGTACAAAACAAGAAGAAAGAAATACTATATAGAACTTTAAAGGAACATGATCTGACATGCTCATTTTTATTTTATCAATTCATAGGTTTAGCTGGGCTCTGATGTTTATACTAAGTTGTGTTCATAATTACTTTGTGATTAGAGTTTCTTACAAATGTTATGATATAGATATATCTCAAGAAACTAAGCTCATTCAAAGAGTTGAAAAATTAACATACTGAAACTTGGGGGAATTAGGATTTGGCTAGAGCTTGTTTGCTAGAAGATTGTTTTTTAAACCAGAAAAAGGAATGATTAAAGTTTTAGTTTTTTAAGTAACTGAAAACAAGCATAATTTAATATTTGAGTTACCTTTAGGTTGGCCAAGTTTAAAAGCAAATGAGCAAACAAGTGAAGCAAGTGGTTACTTAGGCTAAGTATGTCTGCCTATCGAGTATGATTTTGCTCAGAAAGCTCATGGTCTCTACTTTGACTCTGAAGAAGGAAATTATAATAAGAATATTTTTTGTTCTAGAAAAGCTTTGCCAGAATACCTTATCTGAAGGCTTTTAACCACTTGCTTGGTTGAGTTTTAAGAATGTGTATCCTAAAGTTTAATTAATACAATGATTGAAACATGTTTGCTTTTGGACCCTAGGATTAAAATAATTTGTTCACCTTGAACCTTGTGAAGGAAAGGTGACATATGGCTACATGAATTATATTGAAAGGATTAAGTTAGAAAGGGAACCTTTAAAGAAGTTTGAAGTAAACTTTTGACTTATTTAGGAGTTCATAGGGAAGTTAAGAAAGCATTCCATTTTTAAAGAAAGCAGAAAAATGCCGTACATGTCTGACTGTACTGGTGATTTTGAAATATGGATGTTCACTTGCTTTTTTAATTTTTGAATATAAAAAAGTTCTAGATATATAGATGAAGTGACCAAATTCAAATTTTCTGGTTACCGGTCCGGCACTTACTGAACAGTGCCACCAGCACTCCTTCCAAATACAAATTTTAATGTCTTTTACTCTCATACTCATGTGTTTGATCACATATTAAGTAATTTATTAATTTCAAAATACCCACCTTAAAAGTTCTTTAATTAACTTAATCCAAATTCATCACTAAACTTGTTTAATAACACACACTATTTTTACCTAAATTATTTGAGCCTTAGTAATTTTTAATTTAAATATGATACTGTCACTGTTAGCTATAATCTAAACTATAAGACCTTTGCATAATTGGATGACAGTTATTTTTTGTAATGAAATACATTTGATCTCTAGCATGTAATTTCCCAATACAGTCCTGTATAAGGTTAACTTTAATAGAGTTTGGCATAACCATATCCAAAATTTACAATTGCAAAAAACGATTGCTGAATCTATAAGAATTTTTTTACTTAAAAATTACTTTTCTAAAGATTGTATCTATAAACATTTAAAACTAGCAACGATGAGGTTGGCTTAGCCTAGGGGTGTGTGTGTGTGTGTGTGTGTTCTCAAACAAAACTTTATAAAATAATATAATGGAGAGATTTGGATAAGGATTTGGTGGTAAAGTGACTCCCTCTTTTCTGGGAAATTATTTTGGAGAAAGGAAAACAAAATTTTAAGAACCTGTCTTATATTTGGATGTATTTGTTACTTGCTTTTTTCCTCCGTCCTCTTTTTAAGGTTTTGCTTTAAATCTCTAATAAAGTAGATAACCTCCAAAGAGGGGGTGGGAGGAGGGGGGACTTTTTGGAAAGTGACTGCTTTTGTGAGATTTTTTTTAGTGTGTATCACAGGCAGTAAAGCAGTATTTCTGTGACAAGGACAGCAAGTGAGCAGGTAGATGGATATACTGTGCTCGCTTCTTCCTGGGCATGTTTATGTGACTGCAGACTAGTATTTAGGTAAGGTTTTCTTGAGAAGGTCGTAGCTCTTTGGGTGGGAGTTCTGTCCTTGCCCTTTCCAGATAACCGTGAGCTGCGCCATTAGCCACAAACCACAGAAGATGAGGCTGGTTGGTGCTTTTGTAAAAGGCAGTGTGAGGGAGCAGATCACGCTTGCCAGAGGAGAGGCTTTAGAGCTTGTGGTGGTGAGGTGTTTTCATCCTGACTCTTCACTGAATGCCTGCTTTTAGGACTTTAGGAAAATTGATGTAGCGGATAGTTCTACTTTTGTATCTTTTATGAAAATTATTTTTGTACTGTTTTGCAGGAAGGAGTTTATACTCTAGGGCTTCCAGCTTCACTTTTAAAGGAGTATATCATTGATAAATAAAAATATATGATCCATTTGTACTGCATGTATTAGCCCCAAGTTATACCAATGAAAACAATAGTGACATATCATTTTTATCTCTTAACAGTGGAAAGAGTGGAACGAGAAAACCTATCAGACTATTGTGTTCTGGGCCAGCGTCCAATGCATTTACCAAATATGAACCAGCTGGCATCCCTGGGGAAAACCAACGAACAGTCTCCTCATAGCCAAATTCACCACAGTACTCCAATCCGAAACCAAGTGCCCGCATTACAGCCCATCATGAGCCCCGGTCTTCTTTCTCCCCAGCTCAGTCCACAGCTTGTCAGGCAACAAATAGCCATGGCTCACCTGATAAACCAACAGATTGCCGTCAGCCGGCTCCTGGCTCACCAGCACCCTCAAGCCATCAACCAGCAGTTCCTGAACCACCCACCCATTCCCCGAGCAGTTAAGCCAGAGCCAACCAACTCATCTGTGGAAGTCTCTCCGGATATCTACCAGCAAGTCAGAGATGAGCTGAAGCGCGCTAGTGTGTCCCAAGCTGTCTTTGCAAGAGTGGCATTCAACCGCACACAGGTATGATTCGTACTGAAAATCGTGATTGATGGTTAAGAATAATTCTAATGGCGGAATAAGAGGCCCTGGTGGTACAATGGTTAAGTGCTCAGCTGCTAACTTAAAGGTCAGTGTTTTGAACCCACCAGCGACTCCGTGGCAGAAAAGACCTAGGAATACTCTCTGATAAATACGGCAGCCTAAGAAATCTCCTGGGGCGGTCCCACTTTGCCATGTATATTCATGATGAGCCAGAATGGACTTGGCAGTGCACACAATGGGTAGAATAGTGACAGGTCTTAACTTTTAAAACATGTCTTTTGACATGTGTGGATCTTAGAACACACAGTGGAGATTAATTAATAATCCTTAATCCACAATCCTATTAATTAATTTCAATAATATTGTGTATACCTGTGATCTCACCATCCCTCCAAGGACCCAAAATGTTCCCCAATTATTGAGGTCTACCTCTGTGCTCCTCCCCTAGCTTCTCCACCTATCGTTCCCCAAATATGACCATGATACTTAATTCTATGATTATCATCCCCCTTCATTTTAACTAAAGAGCTCTGATGACCCTATCAGGTAAACAAGTGTTGGACCGACAGTACAAGGCTGGTGGTTCAAACCCACCAGGTGCTCTACAGGAGAACGATCAGACTATCTGCTGTGGAAAAAATTTGCCAACTCAGATACCCGATATTGGGTTGCTCTGCGTTGGAATTACGTAACTGGATGGCAGTAGTTTTTAGATTTAAAAATTTTAAGTACCTCTACTGGTTACATGTTTGGCTGCTAACTGCAAAGGCAACAGTCCCAAACCACCAGCTGCTCCATGGGAGAAAGATGAGACTTTCTACTCCCATAAAGAGTTACAGTCTCAGAAACCCACCGGGACAGTGCTACCCAGTCCTATAGGATCGCTATGAGTCAAGCGTGGTGGCAGTGAGTTAAACTACTTATGCATACAAAAGAGTATGCTGTAGAATTTAGCTTAGCTTATTTCTGAACTTTATAAAAAGTCACCATTTCTATGAATTTTTTAACTCCTCAAAATGTATAAGTTAGATTTAATATATTGATAAAGTTACCATGAATATACTACTGATACTTTTATGTTTGGGGGAAATTCCATATCAGTCTAGCTTTTAATGATAAAGTGAGCTATTTATTCAGGCATATTATTGAGGTATGTGTAAGGCATTCTTCTCCATCAGCGGTTCTTAAACTTGAATGTGCATTAGAATTACCCCGAGGACTGTTACAGCGTACAGATTGCTGGGCCCTACCCTAGTTCTCCTTCCTTTAGTGGGTCTGCATTGGGGTTCATGAATTTGGGTTTCTAGCAAGTCCTAGGTGATGCTGATGCTTCTAGTTTGGAGACCATACTTGGAGAACCATTGATCCAGCCCTTCTATGAATAATGAAAGAGTAAAGATCCTTATTTTCAAGAAGCTAACTATGCAAGAGCAGATAACTATGGTAAAGTAAATATAGTATTAATGTAGAGGAGTGTGAACAATGTCTATTGTGGGGCACATGGGAACTTGAGGGTGAAGAATACCCTCAATTCTATCTAGTAGATCGAATGCTGGGAACCTCATTGAAGACAATGGGGTTCATCTTAGCCACCCTACTCAATGCAGGGCAGGAAGCAAAGCTCTGCGCAGATACAAAGAAGAGAAAAAGTTTTGGGGTGAGCACACGTGTCAACAACTAGCTTAGTGAATGGAGTTGCCTGGTAGTTGAACCTTAAAGGATCAGAACATTTTAGCAGGCAAAGATGAATAAGGACATTTTAAGTCGGGGGAACTCATTAGGCAATGATATTTTTTTAAATGCAGGTATAGTTTGTGGTTGATAGTTAAGATATATAACAAAACTTTAAGTTATGTGTACAGGTGGCTAGGTGAGGCTTGATAAAAAAGGTTTTGAGGGTCTTGTTAAGAACATTGTACTTTATTTCGGAAACACCAGGAACAAGTCAAGGTTTTATGTAGGAATACATTATGACTCAAGATTAGAATTGGATCTTAGGGAAAATTTCCCCTCTTACAATAGCAAATGGATAGACATACCATTTAGGAGACTGCCATAGTTGCCCAGCTCTAAGTGTGGGTATTTGAACTAGGCTGGTATTGTTTGAATGGGGTATGCTGAGCCAAGTAGTATAGTAGCAATAAAATTGATAAATAGAAAAGCTGCTGCCTGGCTGGATTATGAGAGAAGGAGTAAGGATAATAGTAAGATTTTAAGTCAGGTACTGAGAGAATAAAGGTGTAGATTCTGAGTGATTCAAAGAAGACATTGAGAAAGGAGATTGTGACTGCTTTGGGATTGAGCTTTGAAACACTGACAGATTTCTTAAGTGAAGATTTGAAACAATCATTGATAGTCTAGGTTTAGTGTTAAAATAATTGCCCAGGATCGAGGAAGAGATTAAGCATCTATTCACACAGCCTGGACTTTTAACAGTCAGGAGAGAGAGGATGACTGTTAGCATGGTTTTGTGCCAGGAAAAGAGAGAAACATCAGGATAATTGGGAGCAGGTGAAGATGGAAGAATAGTGGAATAGTAATGGGAGCTGCAGAAGAGATGCGCGGGCGTTTCTAGAAGACTGGTCCATGTTTGGAAAGCTACCAGGTCTGGGAGAAGGGAGCTTGAAGCCATACCATGAGGTGTTTTGATTGATTGCGAGAGGCCCTGGGCAAACTTTAGAGTAAATTTTATTAGAGTAGTGGGGATGGAAGCCAGGATTCAAGGGCAAGGAGTGATTATCTGTTGAAAAAACAGAAGCTTCTAATTACTTTTTCCATAGTTTGTTGTTAAAAGGAGACCAGAAGTGGTTGACAGCTTGTAGGTGATAGGGAATCAAGTCAAGATAGAGGGGGTTGTGAAGTAGTTCAGAGCCGCAGCTGGAGTTAAACAGCCTAAACTGGTGATAGGACTGACCCCTGTGGTTTGGTAACAACCTTCAGCAAGGCTAGAACTGGGGGAGTGGGAGCAGGGCAGAAACACAGTGGAATTGTTTGAGGCTTGGTGCTGACAGATTAGGGACAGCAGGAGACCAAGAGGAGTGAAATCTCTTGCTCCCTTGGCTTTTCCCTAATTTATACACTTTATTATTGACAGAGCCTGTTTACATCATTTGAAAATGAGTTCAGAGGTTCAGCAAAGCCTGCACATATTTCAGACATCACTGCTCCACTTTCCACTAATGACTCACATCGTCAGGCAGCATCTGTGTGTGCGGAGTTGTCTGGGTTGAAGTGAGGAAAAGCTCTAGTCTTTTTGAGCAAGCCTATTGCAGATATTTCCAAAGACAAATTAGAAGGATGCATCTTTCAATTGTGTGTGTGTGTGTGCTCTTTCATTTATCATCCATGTACATGAATAGGCATTTCATGACTAGTGAACCTTTCATTGCCTGGTTATACATAGACCTCCTTTGGATAAAATAGAAAGTGTAGTTGCATTACTTTGGTTTTTAGAAGCAAATATAGTATACAATCCCCCCCCCCCCCTGCCAATCGCATGACACGTGAGAGCAGAGTCACAGTGAGGCAGGCAGAAACAGACCACGTTAGTGTGAGGGTGTGCTCGGCCAAGGCCCCAGACTCCTGGAGGTCTGTCATCCCCCGCACAATCCTTTTTGTCTATTTTTATGGATTAATGATTTTTTCCTTGGCACTGCCATCTTTCAAATGCCAAGTTATAAAAGGTTTAATTGAAGCATGGAACACATTTTATTATTTTCCTCCTGCCATTAAATTTGTGAGATGGTTACACCCAGAAAGAAACATTCACTTTCAATCAACATGAGCTCGAGTTCATGGGCCAGCCTTGAGGATATCAAATGGAAACTGCATAGGAATGTATGAGTATTTCCTTTTAAAATCCTGCTTTTAATTTGGGGAAGCTTTTCATCCCTCGGGGATCACAACCTGTTCTGTATAAAGCCCAGCCTAATCAAGGTAGATGGCATTGACAGAATGACATAGTTTGAACCTAAGCTGGAGGTCATCAGGCAGATTGTTTTTGCTGTGTATGTGCTGTAGACACAACGGCAAGACTGGGCAGCCGAGTTTCACCGGCAGCAGTGCGGATTGAAAAGCTGGTGTGCTGTGCCCTATGAAATGACCACTGGCTTTTCCAAATGCTAAGGCTCACTTGTGTAGAATCTAGTGTCTGTGTATAATATAATTTCCAAGTTCTCATAAGTAGATGAAAATAACTTTATAGATAATAACATGAATGAATTGGTAATCTTGAGGTAAACAGAGTTTTAACAGTTTTCTCCCACAAAACACAATGGAATCATAAGCATTCATTCCAGTTAGAGACCTCAAGCGAACACAGTCTTGTATCACTGACATATAAATCCTCAGTTCACTGAGTATTTCTCAGAAATAGAGTTCAAGGGCTCTATTATTCATCTGCTATCAAATATGATAAAAAATAACTTGTTACATTTTGTCACCTTACCTTACCCCATTTGTGTTTCTGGACCTATGATAGATGCTTGCACTATGAAGCAATCTGTGTGTATATAAAACAATAAAATAAAAAATAAAGCTAGAATTGTAAAAACATATAGTTGCCTACTTTTTCATGTTTAAAACTGACATGAAGAAACTCACATTCACTATAAATAGCATTACAAAGTGCCAGCTCTCCAAAGAGGAGCTATTAATAGCTTTGTCTATCTGATCCACTGTCAGTATATCACTTGAATAATTAGTAAAATCGCATAATGAAAGGACTCAAGAGGTATTTATTGCAATGTATTTTATTGTAATCAACATATCTTTTAAAAACATGAAATGCATTTGTTTGATCAATTGATTCCCCACCCACACTTAATGACTTCCACTCTTCATGACCTCTACTGGGCTCAGGGATAGACAACCTTTTTTGATAATCTTATCTAGTCATTATTTGTTTCTGTTATTTTCTCTTATTGCTATTGTTTTGATAACAAATATAGTCTAACTCAGCCATTCTCAACTTGTGGGTT